ACGCGACCTCGACGGCGTTCTCCCTCACGGAGGCGTCGTCGTCGTCGCCGTCAGTCTTTTGCCTCGAGACGGCGGTGACCATGCTCAACTTCTCGGTTGCGAGTTACTACACCACCCGCTTGCACCAACACCACTCTCCATCCTCCTGTGGGCACCTCGGCAAGGACATCCCGGACCTCGATGCCCTCGACGGTACGCTCCTCGCCGCCTTTCACGACCCCGCAACCGACACCAACGGCATGCTTGTCTACGAAGAGCGCAAGCAGCGCTACGTGCTCGCGTTCCGGGGCACTGGTAGCATTAAGAACGCTGCGACGGACCTCAAGTCGCGCCAGATGCGGCTTCCCGGCACCGGCTACACGTCGCAAACGATCCGAGAACGCACCAAGGGAAAAGGCACCCGGCACTTTGTGCACGTGCACTCGGGCTTTTACCACGCGTACGTGACGCTCGAGCAGCATCTGCACGCGGCAATTGGCAAGATTCCAGACAAGAGCGTCGTCATTTGCACGGGCCACAGCCTCGGCGGCGCGCTTGCCACGATCGCCGCCATGGACTTGGCGCTGAAGCGGCCCTCGCTGCGCCTTGCTGTGTACAATTACGGCAGCCCCCGCGTCGGCAACCACGCGTTCCAGGAGCTCTTCAATGCGACGATGCCAGCGTTTCGCGTCATCAATGACGGCGACATTGTCACGCAGTATCCCAAGCGCGACTATACCAACGTCGACCTTGACGGCGTCTGTGTCTACAAGCACGTGGGTGCTGAAATCACGCTGCTCTGCGGCAAGGACGCGGTTCGAGGCATTATTATCCGGCCAACTTTCATCGACCGGTTTTTTGTCTTGCTGCACCGGAACAGCCTCGCGAGCCACAGCCTTGAAAACTACCGCAACAGCTTCCGATCGCTCATGGTTCCCGGTACAGACCGCCTTGGCGTGTCGAGCTGCAACTCGTCGCGCGAAGCAAGCGTCGAGAGCATCGACAAGGTGAACGACAAGGAGGAGCAGGAGCAACAGCGTAAGCATCTGGCGACAACGCACGACATCCACCTCGAGCTCTCGACTAATGTGACGGAAAATTCGACCGCTGAAGACACGACCCCCGCAGACACGACGGACCTCGTGCGTGGCGAATTTCCCTAGAAGCGACTTTCAGTTCGTTGTGGGTGATGTGGCATCACGCACATGCAAACTCCAGGAGGAGCGCAAGCTCCAGGTTGCGTACGCCTTATATATATATTTATAAGAACGTGTTCTGCGACAGAGCATCTCCATCCGACGCCCTATTTCCTATTTTTTCTGGGGGCTGTGATTGGTGGATCCTATCGTGAAATAGGACTAGGTTTGCTATCTCCACCCGACTAACCTATCCAGGAGGAACGTACCGGATAAGTTTGCATTAACCGACTTCGCGCCAATTGCAAGCTCTCTTGCGCGCGCATGTCACTTTGGTTTTAGCGCCCATGCACCGACACGGGCGCGAGTTCTTGCTCGACGACGACGACGATGACGAACTCGTGCACGAGGTGGTCTACCGACCGAACAAGCGATGTCACGGCGGCGGAGTCGTCGGTCGCGAGATGGTAAAGCGGGACATTGCGTCAGGCCACAGCAACATCATGCGCGACTACCTCAGCCATGACTTCGAAAACTGAGCTGCCCTCTGTCGGCGCCTGCAACCGAGCTGGTGCTCACCGACACCCAAGCTCGGGCAAGCAGGGCCACTTCCTCTGGCACCCATATCTTGTTGCGACCCATTGCCGTAGTGGGTCCAGAGAGCGCAAACCAAACGACGCCCACTACCTATTTATAGACAACGTAGATGGATCCCATTCCATGCTCAAATCATATCCACGAGACGAATAGGCCAGCCAATAGTATTGCCCAATTTTTAAGGCTAAGCCAATCAAATCGTCGAAAAATAGGATTTCGAGCCTATTTCCTGACGTTTTCGCCCTATTCGGTACCGCTTAGGACGAAAAAACGGCCAAATTCCTATTTTTTAGGACATAGGAGGTCGGGTGGAGTTGTTTTTCCTATTTTATCCGGATGCGATTTCGAGCGATCCTCGAAATAGGGACTTCCTATTCCCTATTTTCCTTACAAAGACTTCGCATATATGTATTAGTGCTACGCCTGAATGCGTGGGAGTTGGCACCAGCACTTGATCGTTGGGAGTGAGCTGCGCACGGAGAGATCCATCCCGTGGTGGACCCCACTCGCCGAGGGTTAGCTCGCTCGAGTTCGTACGCTGGCTCTTGTACTCGGACCACCCGAGAGAGGAGTGTAAGCCGTCGGGTGTGTTTCAACCGAAGCCGGCCAACCTGCATCCGAATAAATCCGGATACCGACAGAGCACATAGAACCGACGCCGCAGGCGGCGAGGCTGGACTACTCCATCCACTGTTTCCACTGTTTCCAAACAGTGTATTCCGACGTTGCCGTTTTCGCGTGCGCCCGTTCGCATTGCGCAAAGCGCCGACAAGAAGAGGGAGGCAAGATAAACGGCGTGAAGTGCCACATTGGGACGCGGATGAAGGCAATG